ACCCCAGAAAAAAAAAAAAAAAAAAGACAGGGTCTCACTTAGTCATTAAGTTCTCCAGACTGAAGTTGTGATCCTTCCAAAGTCTCTCAAAGTGCTGGGATTACAGATGTGTATCACCACACTCCACTATGATAAGCAGTTTTTTTTTAAAACATAAAGGCCATCACTTCTTAAAACCGAAAAGGAAGCAATTAGGTTGGTGCTCCAACAGGCTAGTTTCATTTGTAATGCTTCTATTTTTGTAAGAGGAAAATATTAATGTATTATTTCTATACTTAAAAATTTATAACAACCTGTAAAGTATTGGTTAAATATATGAAAGAAGATGCAAAATAAAAATATAAAGATTCTCGTGGACTGGGGATTTAGCTCAGTGATGCCAGGCTTGCCTGGCAAGCGCGAGGTCCTGAGTTCAATTCCCAGTACACACACAGAAAAAAGATTAGCAATAAAAAAATACAAAGATTCTCAAGAAAGTTTCTCACAAGCACAAGGACCCAAGTTCGATCCCCAGTATTTAAAAAAAAAAAGAAAAAAAAAAAAAAAAGAAGAACTGTATAGGAATGGTTTTATATAACATGGAAAAATTGCAAAATTATACTAAACCTATCCTGTACATGCAAAGCCACAGATGTATCTCCACATAAGCAAAGGTGATATGACTTATTCCTGGCTTTATAATTTCACCCTTCTCATTAAGAAGGTGCAACACACAGTAACAGTGACAAAGGAAGTACCATGAACTCATCTATTTTTTTATATTTTTATGGAATTAGGAATTGAACCCAGGGCCTTTGCACTGAGCTACATCGCCAGACCTTTATTTTGAGACAAAGTCTTGTTAAGTTGCTAAATTGTCACACTGTGCTTAGACTTGTGATTCTCCTGCCCTAGCTTCCCAGAGTGCTAGATTGTATGTGTGGGCCATCATGCTTGGCTTAATGTAATTTTTAATCAAACTACTTGCTTGTTTTTGGAGTACTGGGGATTGAACCCAGGGCCTTACACCTATAAACAAGTGCTCCTTTTTTCTTTTTCTTTCTGAGACAAGGTCTTGCTATGTAGTTCAGGCCAGTATTGAACTCAGTGATCCCCTGGCCTCAGCTTCCTGAGTGCTGGGATCACAGCTGTGTGCCACCATACATGGTAACAAATGCTCTTCTACAGAGCTATTTCCCCAGTCTAAAAAGTTTAGTTTTAGGTCAGGGATTTAGCTCAGTGGTCTACCTTGCCGACTACCTTTCAAGCACAAGGACCCAAGTTCGATCCCTGGTACAAAAAACAAAACAAAACAAAAAATAAAAAACAACTTTAGTTTGATGCTGGGCATGTTGGCACACATTTATTTAGGAGGCTTAGGCATGAGGATCACATTACATTTGAGGTCAGCCTGAACTACATAGTGACACTCTGTCTTAAAAACAAAAACAATTTAGTTTGAGAAAGATGTGGTCTTGCTAGTTACCCAGGCTGCCCTCAAAGTTTCCATTTTTCCTATCTTACTCTCTCAAGTTGCTGGGCATAGAAGTGTGGGAAAAAAATCAGTATTTTAATTAAAAATCTGTCTACCTAATAAAAAAGATATCTATTCTACTTAACTGTTTAATGAAAAAGTCACAGCTTCAGGCTGGGGATTTAGCTGTGGTGCTAGAATGCACAAAGTATACTTTTTACACTGTAAAATTCCTTTTTCCATAAAGTCTCTTTAAGGAAAACCTCACCAAAAGCAGCCTTACAAAACAAGCAAAGAATAATAAATGTGAAACTATTAACTGTAAACCATTTATGTGTCATGCTTTTATTCTTTGACTAGTCACATATGCTCTCAATGTATACTAAATATTGAGATTATCAGGTGAGGTCTATAAAGAAAAAACACAAAAGATCTTTTTATTTTTTTTTTGAGACAGGGTCTCACTGTGCATTTCAGGATGGCCTTGAACTCACTATGTAGAGTCCAGCTGGCCTCAAACTTTTGGCAATCCACCTGCCTCAGTTTCCCTCCTGGGATTACAGGTGTGTGCCACCATGCCTAGCTAAAAGATCTATTTTTTGTTTGACAGGAAATAGTTTCTAGGATTCCTAATCATTTTATCCCCAGTGCTGGTAATCAAATTGAGGGCCTCATGCAGGCTAGACAAGTGTTTTACCTGTGAGCTATTATTTCTAGACCCCTAATAACTTATTCTAAAAATTACGCTTTAAGTTCAGCTTTTGGAGTCAAACTACTGGGCTCAAACCTTGGATCTGATATCACTACCTATGTGTTCTTAGAAGGAATACTTCACCATTTTTCTTAATTTCCTTATCTATAAAATATACACACTCATATCTACCTTATATTACAAAAACTGAAAAAAAAAGCTTTTAGGAGCTTGAGATATTGTTAGTTATTATCTATTGTATATACTTCATAATAATCATTTTAAAAGACAATTCTTCAAAATCTTGTATAATACACATCCCAGTATTTATTGCCATGGTACTTAACATTTCTAACTCCAAAGGCTTCTCCAAAGTATTACTCATTTACTATACTAAGTAACATTTAAAAACTAAATTGTGGGCTGGGGATTTAGTTCAATGGTGCCAGGAGCCTGTCTAGCAAGTGCAAGGTTGTATTACAGGTAGGAAAAGAAACAGGCTCTGCAGAGTGAGTCTAGGCCAAGCAGAAGTAGGAAAAGGACACCCTGCAGTGTGACGGTGGTCACCATGCAAAAACAAACACAGCAGCTAAATATTTTTTCTATTCTTTTATTACTGAGTCCCCATTCTTTTCATATCCATTATCAACTGTGGTCAAAGTGGCTTTATGAATCCTAGACTATATTGTTCATATATTTTTGTAAAACCAAAACTTTTTAATTAAGTCTGCCAAAAAGTGCTGCTAACAACAGTATTTCCTTAAGACACACCAGGAATTTTAAAAAATAAATTTCAGCTATGATTTTAATCTTACCGATTTTTTGGGAATGGCCGACCCATATTCAGAGCAGCAGCATTTGTTTTATAAGATCCTGGTGAGTTAAAGCCATTCACAAAATGACCATTGGGGAAAGGAGCCTAGAAGAAAAATTTATGTTTAAACTGACATAAAGACAAAATATAGAAGGTTACAAGAAACATTTATGAGCTAACCTAGCATCAATTTCTTTCACAAGGGAAAAAAAATTTAAAACATTGTACTTAATTCACTCTTGCAATATTCACATCATATATCTCTTCACTCATGAGTGATGTATCACCAGTTCATTCAGAGAAGGAACAATCTTTCAATATTTAAAATCAAATAGGACTTAGGTTTTCTTCAATTCATTCCACAAAGTTTAAAGAATAAAATTATAGAAATCAACAACTGAAGCCTTAAACCAAAGCTATACAGTAAGAAGGATTAGACACCTGTATCACTATTTGAAAGCCAGAAAATAACCAGTACCAGTAATTGAATTACTCCAGCAGATTTTTTCAAATTTCAGTGTGAATTTAAATTTTTGTTATTTTATATTATTCTGTTGAGGACTTCACTTACCAGTGGTGTTTCAAAGTAAGGTGTAGGACTTGGAGACCAAGACTGAGGCACAATACTATAAACCGAGTACTGTTGGTGAGGATTATATACTGGCTGCATAAAGACTGGTGAGGCATACTGTGCTTGAGCTTGAATGGGCTGACTATACAAACCAGAATCCATTAATCGATAACCATTCTTAGCAAAGAATGTATTGATGGCTTTTATCCTTGCCTAGAAGAAAACATTATAATAATAAGAGACTAAATATATTTTAACAAATGTATTAACTTTACATTTTAACATTTATACTATTCTATACTATTTCTACTTATTGTACAATCCTAGCAAAAGAAAAAGAAATAAAATATATATGAATAGAGCTGGGCATGGTGGCATAATACAATCACTCCATGATACTGTTATGATTTTGAGAAAATGGACATAAAAGCAATTTGTAAATTAAAGTGTCAAAAATATTTGCAAATCATATATTAGATAAGGGTTCTTTATCCAGAATATATAAAGAACTATTATAATTCTACAAAAAGTCAAATAAGCCAACTAAAAAGTAGGCAAAGTATTTGAATAGACATTTAAAGAAGGAATATAGAGCTGGGCATGGTGGCACACGCCTGTAATCCCAGCACTCGGGAGGCTGAGGCAGGAGGTTCGCTGTGAGTTCGAGACCAGCCTGAGCTACACAGTGAGTTCCAGATCAGTGAGACTCTGTCTCAAACAAAAACAAAAACAAAACATATATGAATAAAAAGGGAAGAAAAAAGGAATTACAAAGAAAGAAAAAAATGGAAGCTTTAATAGTGTGTACATAGGAAAAGCCCAATAAACAAGGTAAAAACACAAATGTCAAAAATAATAAAATCACAGTATCACATCAAGAGTGCTAATAGCATTAATATATAAATTGTAAAAACAGACATGAAAAGGCTCAATAATCCTATAGAAAAATGGGTCAAGACACGAAGAGAGTTCAGAAATTAAAAAAAAAGAGCATATAGCACAAACATATGAAACACACAAAACTTTGCTCACAAGAAGCTATTAAAATAGAGATATATGAGCTGGGCGTGGTGGTGCACGGCTGTAATCGCAGCACTCGGAGGCTGAGGCAGGAGGATTGCTGAGAGTTCGAGACCAGCCTGGGCTACATAGTGAGTTCCAGGACAGTCTCAACTACATAGTGAGACCCTGTCTCAGAAAATACAAAACAAAACAAACAAAAAAAGAGGTATATGAAAAACTTAAAAACACTAATTACCAGATAAATGCAAATTAAAATGAAAAGACAGCATCAGGCATGATGGTGCATGTCTGTAATCCCAGCACTCAGGAGGCTTACCATTAGTTTGAGGCTAAACTGAATTACATAGTGAGACCCTGTCTCGAAAAAACCAGCACCACACACCTGTGAGAATATCTATCATCAAAAAGACAATTATGCATTTGAGCAAACGTTAAAAAAAAATGACCTCTGCACACTGTTGGTAGAATATAAGTTAGTATACCTACTAAAGACAACCATATAGTTTTTTCAAAAATTTAAAATTAGCAGTACTTGGCTGGGGGTATAACCCAGTATTAAAGTGCCTGACTAGCTATGTGAGGCATTGTGTTTAATCTCTAGCACCACCAAAAATAAAAAATAGCTTTAAAAAAGGGAAAAAGACTACCACATTATTTAGCAATTCCATTAAAGGAAACGAAATCAGTATGAAGAAGAGGTATCTACATTCTCATGTACCTACAAACACACTATTCAGCTTTTAAAAATGAAATCATGCCAGATGTGTTTATGTGCACCTGTGCAATCCTAGCACTGGGGAGGCTGAGGTAGAGGATTGCTAGGAGTTCAGGGCCATCCTGGACTACATAGTGAATTCAAGGCTAGACTGAATCATACATCAAGACCTTGTCTCAAAACATCAAAACAAAAACAAAAGGAAATTTGGTCATACGTTACAATAGGAACAAAGCAGGAGGACATTACACAAAGTGAAATAAAACAAATACTGCAGAATCACACTTGTATGTGGAATACCATCATTGGTATCACGGCTGGGCAACAGAGGAGAATGGGGATATGTTGATCCAAGAGCACAAAATTCCAGTAAGATAGGTCAATGGCTTGGGAGATTCACTGTAGCACGTGATGACTATTTTTTTTTTTTTTTTGGTACCAAGGATCAAACTTAGGACCTTGAGCTTGAGCTTGCAAGGCAGGCGCAGTACCACTGAGCTAAATCGCCTGCACGATGACTATACTTAATAACAATATATTGAAGAGCAAGGGATTTTAGTTCAGTGGCGCCTGTCTGCCTGGCAAGTGCAAGGTTCTGAGTTCCATCCCCAGGATCTTCCCCCAACCTCCAAACCAACAATATATTGCATACTAGAAAACTGCTGCAACATAGATATGTTAATTAGTTCGGTTTATTCATTTCTCAATATACAGATATGTTAAAACATCATTTTAAGAGCCGGGGATTTAGCTCAGTGGCACCACACCTGCCTTGTGAGCACAAGGTCCTGAGGGCAATCCATGGTACTGAGAAAAACAAACAAACAAAAAAACTCAAACATCACTTTATACACTGCGTACAATGTTTATCAATTATTACTTAATAAAAGTGAGGAAGAAATAAATATATCAAACTATACACTAAAACTAATCACAATACAGAGGGAAACAAACCCTCTTTCAACACACACACACACACACACACACACACACACATACACACTTTAAACCAGCATCCTACCAATCACTAAATACAATACACTATGGTACATCTATCCAAATAGTATTATCCTAAATACTATTAGGGAATGATTTCCAAACTACACTGTTACTCTGAAAAGAAAGGGGAGAGATAAAGCAAGGCAAAAAATTGTGTAGAAAGGTTATAATAAGATGGGAATATGATGACATACTTATATATATGAACAGTGATTTAATATACTGTAATTTATGTATTGTACTTTGGAACTATGTACAGATTTAAAACAAAATTTAAAAATTTATTTGTAAAAGTTAAAAACAAGGGATGGGGATTTAGCTCAAGGGAACTGCACCTGCCTCTCAAGCACAGTCCTGAGTTCAATCTCTGGTACCAGAAAGGGGAAAAAAAGGAATCTAAATGTTCATACAATTAGTAGCATAAGAGAAGTTCTAAAGGACTTTGGCACACAATAAAACCAACTGTTAATGTATGTTCTTTAGAATTAGAGAGGGCACAAAATATGCAAAAATAATTTTTTTTTTTTTTTTTGGTTGAGACAAAGTCTCACTACGTAGTTCAGGCTGGCCTTGAACTCACTATGTAGCCCAGGCTGTCTTTGAACTCACAGCAATCTTCCTGCCTCAATCTCCCAAGCACTGGTATTATAGCTGTGCACCAATCATGCCTGGATAGAATTTTTTTTTTGAGACTGGTTCTCAATATGCAGTTTAGGCTGACCTCAAACTCTTGGCTATCTTTCATGCACTACCATGCCCAGCTAAGAATTCCTTTTTTGTTTTTTTTGATACTGGGGATCGAACTCTGTACTTATGCTTGCAAAGCAGGTGGGGAACCACTGAGCTAAATCCCTGGCCCCACAGCCAAGAATTCTTAAATTTGCTTTTAGAATTATATTGCTGTTTGTCCCAGGAAGATTAGAACTGACATTTCAGGGGGAAAGGTGCCCCAAGGTGACATTTCTCATCCTTTGTCCAAAGCCCCAAATAATAAAAACAAAATCATAAACAAAAAAAAATTACATCGCCATGAGTATGTTTGGTTATTCTGATATTTCCATGTAATTACGTATTAGAGCTCATCAGTAATTACATAGGCACAGTAAAAGTTTCACATGAAACAAAGACACAAGACTTAAGAAAACAAAAACAAAAACAAAAACAAGTCATGTGGCCTGAATTTAAACAGGAAGAATCAGTACAAATTTACGATGTTTTTTTTTTTTTCTTAAAAAATAAATAGGGGCTGGGAAATAGCTAGCTCAGTGGTAGAATCATGGACTTTTAGCTAGGGTCCAATCCCCAGCACTGAGAAAAAACACTAGATATGTACTTTTAAAGCATGTTCTAATGAAATAGCTTAGAAATAGTGTTAAAACCAATTGCCACAAGCTCCTTGTGCCTAACCAGTGGTCCAAAAAATACTATGTTTCCATAAAAGAACCTGGGAACACCACAGAACCAACCAACCCTATGCCTTTGACCTTAAGTCTTTGAAAAGGTTGCTACACAAAAAAGCCTGGCACCCCTCTTCACATTACAAAGCAAGGAAATTTAAGGAACTATTGGTAACAGGGATGTAACAAAAGTACTCAGGTGGTAACTCAGAGTCCAAAACAGTCTGTATATTTAAGTATTCAAAAACAAAAATTAAATGAAAAGTCACTTTTCGGCAATGCTGGGGACTTAGGGAAGGGGTGAGCATAAAAGCACTCTATAAGCTATATTTCCATCCCAAAACACTAAACAAAGAAAGAAACAAAAAGAAGCTAGAACCAAACATTCAGCATATATTTCACATATGAACTGTAAACTCAGGGCAATGAAGATGTGGACAACATGGAAAAATGGAAAAAAGACAACACAAAAACAGCACCACTTAGCAATTCTTTATGAATGAACAGATGTAGTCAATGATCAGAGGCAGCTACTTTTTTCTCCCTCCTTTATTTGCCCTGGTATCAAACACAAATCTGACCAAACCTTCACATCTAGGTACTCATTTGCATGAAATACAGGGGACAGATAATAACTCAGTGGTAGAGTGCTTATCTGGCATGTATGAGGCCATGGGTCTGGCATCAGCCAAACTCTGGCAACGAAGGTGGGGGGGCACAAATAAATGAAAAAGCATTCTCTAAAAAACTGCAAGACAAATAACATGCCCATTTCACTCAATATTCTTGCAAAAGAAAAAAATACAAAAACAGAAAGACTCTAGATTTTTTTCTTTTTTTTTTGGTACCAAGGATTGATCCTGGGTCCTTATGCTTGCAAAGCAGGCAGTGGAACCACTGAACAAATCCCAGCTCTGTGTCTAGATCTTTAAAAGAAAAAGGTGGTCAAGCAGTTGCCTAGCATAAGCAAGGCTCTGGGTTTGACTTCCAACATTCAGGAGAGAGTAACAGAATGCGTACCAAAAAAATAAGAATAATGACTGAGTATTAGATGACATTCAAGAAATTACTGTTCACTT